ATACGTGGAATTTGACGTACAAGGAGCCTCACACGAGAAATAAATTGGGACAAAACTTGCCCTAATATCGCATTAGAATTTTCAACCCAAAAGTTTAAACAATTAGGTTAAGGAAGAGTAAATAAACCTCATAAACAAACGATACGTGAATTTTCATAATTCAGGACATTTTTTCCACAAGCCTTATTAACCGTGTCAAGATAATTTGGTTATAATTCATAACTCGATCATTGGTAATATTGCCGCGCAGGACTCCTAATTTCATTCGAGTTATGGTGTGCATAGTGAAGGGCAGAAAGCAACACCACAAATTTGGACTTTTATTTTATTATCTCATCGTTTTTTAATTTCAAGCTGATCCATTTCGTTGTTGACACATCACAGATTACTTTATTTCATTTATTTAAAAGTAATAATTGAAAATAGGTAAATTGCATAGGTTTTATTTTCCATTCTAAAAAGTTCGTGTCATCATTAGATCTTTGTATTATAATCGACTTATCGGGGGAAAATTGTGAAAGTGGCAAGTATGATTCGAGATCTGTGCTACATCAAGAAGAATAAAAAGAAAGAAATGGAGAAGCGAGGGAAAAACCAAAAAAGAAATAAGTAAACGGTTCTTATTTTGTCTTAATTATGAGCATCAATTACACGTATCATCGGAATGTACGTATAATGGTCGAGAACTAAGCTCTTTATACTCTCATTTCAAACGGAGAAATTGTCCAATGAATTTTAAACTTATTGTACATATGCTAATTTAATCTTAAACTAATTAATTTTGTCAATTTAATCTTTAACTTTTGCACGAAATTCCGACCAATTTTCACCGGAAAATCGCTGACTTGGCAATGTGCCAGGTTAGATGGCAGACGATGATTGAACCGCCATGTCAGCGATTTCCGACGAAAATTGATCAGAATGATACACATGTATTTATAAGAGTGGTTAGTTACACTAAGAGTACATATAGAAAAATAATTACAGAAAGACCCCGTAATACATATAAATTACACATTAGTACTCCACTTCAATCCGAAGTAAGTGTAACAACTTAAAGATTGGATTTCAATAGCCGTGACGCGGACTAGGTAGTCCCTTGGTGAATATGCCTATGATCTGTTGTAGGCATGTAGCGAACATATAAATCGCTGGAAGCAACCCGCTCTCGAGCAAACTGAAAATCCAACTCAATGTGTTTGGTGCGAGCATGAAACATGGGTTTGAGAGTAAGATAGGCGGTAGAGATGTTGTCACAGCAAAGGGTGAGAGAATTAAAAAGCAGGACTCTGAGCTCACGAAGTAAATGACGAATCCAAATAATTCAAGCAACACAGTCAGTAACAGCACGATATTCAGCTTTTTTACTAGAACAGGTTACGGTGGATTGCTTCTTCGCACCTTGAACAGTTCAAAACCCCAAGGTGGAACGTCGAGTATTGGAGCACCCAGCCCAATATGCATCCGCATAAGCAGTCAATGAAGAGGGAGAACATTGCTCAATGAGGGGTGATTGTGCAAGCTAAATACTAGTATATACGTTTGACGGCTTGGAGATAGGAAAATCTAGGTTGATGCGTGAATTGGCTAACCAAATTCTTAGGAAAACTAATATCAAATTTAGTCAGAGTCTCATGTTGTAAAGCACCAATCATCTGTTGATACAACGTCGGAGAAGCAAGAAGCTCACCATCGCTAGCAGACAACAGAGGCTTCAAGGCCAAGGAAGTTCCTCTTTTACAGCCGAATCCATAATTTACCAATTTTCAAGGACCGAATGTATAATCTCAGTTAATATGAATACTTAAAAATGAACAACAAAGCATTGTCATCGGCACCCTTTATAAATGCTGAGTTTGACATTCTGTTCGCATAGAAAATCTCTCTCTCTCTCTCTTTCACTCTCCTTTTTTTCAGAAAAATTAACCTTGTATGTATAATATCTGTACTAATTATAATGGGAGAGATTTCAGGAATAATCTCTAAAAAAATTGACCATTTTACCCTTCATTGCGACTTCTCTAAGTATTAACTTTTATATTTTGGGAACTAATTCTTTTATATTTTCGTGAACATATCTTCAACTAATAAAATTTTTGTGACATTGGAGTCTTGTGAATATAAAAGAAGAAAGTCATCCATGCATGCGTCGGCAAAGAACGTGAAACTTAGCATTCCTTGCCAATTGTTTGTTCCAGCGCGCTTTTGACGGTCCAATGGGCATATGACGTTAAATCGCTTTTTATCTCCGATTTTATATTCGAAAGTGCGTCACATGATCATAAACTTAGTCGCATTCATGCACAAAACCAGAAAAACAGAAAGGTCGACCCTTCGGATTTTCAAGGTCAACCCGTACAGACAATGAGCTGATCATGATTTATCCACAGGAAAATATCGTGTAAATTTATTTATACTATCTTTGACATGGTCAAACTGCCATTTTCTCTCATTATTCTTCTACATTGCAATCACGGGAGGAGAGATACTATATCTCTAATGCAAAGAGACGTGTCTCTCGTGAATGAGAAAGACAAGGCTCGTAGTTGAACAAATCATATATTATAAATATTGCTTGGGAGAAAGTGCTATTAAAGTATCTCTTCGGTATTTGGAGCATTGTCAAGAATTTGCAATCTCTAAACCTTGATTTTTGGCATATATGGATCCTCAGTGAACCGCATCTTCATAGCAATGTGGGAGTTAAAATTGCTAAAAACGATGTAAACCTATAATAAAACAAACCTCACAAGTTTGATTGAGTGGTTACGTTTTTAGTTTCAAAGCGATAAATTTCGTATCCAAATCAGAGTGTTTGTCACTCTGAATAACCTTGGGGGCCATGCCCCACTGCCCTACGGTTGAAGCCTTACTCGATCTGTGTGGATGAATTAATCTCCCATCACTACATCCTTGCTTGGTGGTGAGGGGCACCGCAAACTGGTCAACGCCTAGTGAGGGCTATTTAGTCCTCACACAGCCATGGCGAGACTCGACAACCCTTGTTTGGCTTGATCAAGGCAAGGGGCATTGCCCCATGTCGTTAATGGGGGTGGTCACCCTCATTGTTGGTGAGAGTGGCGTCGGTGGACCGTCGCTCAATGGTGGCAAGAGGTGGCGCTACCATGAGGCAAGGGTAGCATTGTCCCTTGTTCGAATCTAGGAAAGGGCAAGCAGGCCCTCATTGGCGGCCGAGCCATGATCGACGTTTTCCGAGACCGAGCTAAAGAAGTGTGGGACCTGCCCCTTTGGGAGCTCGCGTCACTATTTTTTATAATCTTTTTAGTCCTTTTTTAATATTGCTCCAAGTAGTAAAGGGAAAATTGCCACCTAGGATTTTCCGTCCGTTGAAAATTGACAAAGCTAGCATAGTCTCTCAATTGTACCTTTCGTGCATGTTTTAATAGTTAAACAACTGGAGGTTTTTAGACTCGAATGCACTATCGAAACAAATTTAAGACTTCCAGTGAAGTTATTCCCAAATTTCGACTAAGGAAAATAACCTTAAACCAAATGAAAACTAGATATGAATTAGATGTAATCAGATAGTTCTAACACAAGGAAACTGGTCCAATATCGATGAGGGAATAGTCATATCCCACCATGCATACTATGGAACTCTTCGCCCATGATCATGATGAAGATGAAATAACATATTCTCCATCAGTCAAAAGCTAAAGTTGGGATGTTAAATCGACTTCCTTATATTTCAACTTTGGTCTATGGCCAACCCCAAACGGAAAAATAAACGAAAAAACAAAATGAACTTTGATCAATTGTTTTGTCATTTTTTTCATTAGTAAAATCTCCACTCGATTAGTGGCAACTGGCAAACAACTTTCCCACTAATGAGAATGCTTTGCTGCCAAGACACTCGTGCTCCTGCTCTACCTTGGCCGACGTGTCCTGGCTTGCTTCCACAGTCTTTAAGTCGATTAAACTCCATTAACTAGTCACTTATTTTTCTTTTCTATTTTTTAAAAAAATCATTTTCAAGTCAATTATTTTCTGCGAAACAAACATAACCTTAGATTTTCATAATTTTGCGCATATTTTTATGCCAGGCTCCTGAATCATGTCAATCTAATTCGATCATAATTTATAGCTTGATAATCCTAATGTTGCTGCCCAGATTTCCTAATTTATTTAAGTTATGGTGCCCATTTATTTTATAATCTGTTCGTTGTTTTATTCTAAAGTTGATCTATCCGTTGTTGACGCATCATAGATTGCTTAATTTCATTTCTTCTTATATGAAATGTTTCAAATCATCGATCAAGAAGGAATCAAAATGGTGGAAATAATCATTGCCTGGAGACCAAAAAAAGGGGCAACCGCGTGTTATGGAACAGTGTAGGGGGGTTCAACTTTCGATTCTAAGAGATTCGTATCATCAGTCGATTAATGCATCGCCATTGACTTGTTGGGGACAAAACCGTGAAATAGGCATGTATAATTGCCCCTACTTAGGAACTCTTGATCTCGTCGCAATGTACGTATAATGGTCGAGAGCTACAATATTTATACTCCCATTTCAAACTTACCCTTTTAAGTATTATTTCCAAAGAAGAGACTCTTAGGTACTTATTTTCACACTAATACCCCCACGCCCCGAGTCAATCGCGGCCACACCCACGTTTTCATGTCACCGGCATCAAATCCACGTGGGTCGTGTATAGGAACGCGGAGAAATTACACCCCGAAGATGATTCACATCGGAGTTTCCCCCGGTCCGATCCACATGAAACCATGGGCGCCCCAACTCTAGGGCGAACAATCGAATGTTTGCGGACAGAACCGACCCCGCAACGTTCATCGCCATTGATGAACAGCATCTTCAAAAGTAAAGCCACAGAGAGAGCAGCACACAATGACAATGAGATCACACTTGCAAATCCATATAGAAGAGGAAAGAAAAAATAAAGAAGCGAAGGAAGCTAATCATGACCAGACAAGAGGGAAAGATTGAGGAAGAAATGCAAGAAAGAAGAGAAAAAGTGTAGAAGAATCTTGATGCCCAACATATTGCTGTTCAATCACAATTCTTTTGCATCTTTTTTTTTTTTTTTTTTGTGCTCTCTTTCTTTCATTGGGTTACAACAATCAAGCGGTGATCTACCACCCTTTTTGGTAGACCCTACCGCACATTATTACAATCCCCCCATGCCCCTCCCAAAGTTCACAGATCTACACCCTCTCTCCCTCTTATCCCTTCTTCTTCTTCATCTTCATCTTCTTCACAATATTTATGTTCTCTATTCTCTATGTGGTGGAACAATCTATTTATATATAATCATCTCTTCCCCCTCCCCTATATAAAAATATGCTACAGCAAAGAAAACACCCATGAGTCCCCCCTCTTTTACAGGCGAATTTGACATTGTTTTTGTTGAAATAATTTAGACACAGTTTCGATCCCACGAAGATCGTAATAATATGAAGAAAGGAAAGAAAAAAAATATTGAACTGAGTAAGAAAGCGAAGATGGGCGAAAACCACCACCACCACCACCATGACCAAGTGAACGTGATCGAGATCAGTCGGATTCCTCGGGGCGGTCGGTGCTGGTGGCGCTGAGGCGGGCTTCCTTCTTCGCCCTCGGCTGGACCCCGTAGTAGCCGACGTACCACTTGACGAACTTCCGCAGCCCCGTCGCCAGGTCCGTCGTGGGCTTGTACCCGAAGTCCCGCCACGCCAGGCTGACGTTGGCGTGCGTGAAGGGCACGTCCCCGTTGCGCGGCATCGTGATGACGTGGCGCTTCGCCTTGGTCCCGAGTAGCGACTCCAGGATGGCCACCAGGCGCCCCACCGGGACGGGCGAGGTGTTGCCGAGGTTGTAGACCCGGAGCTGGGCGGGGGCCTTCTTCCGGCCGCCACTGCCGGTGCTCTTCTCGGCCGTGTCGAGGGCGCCGAGGCAGCCCCGGACGACGTCGTCGATGTAGGTGAAGTCGCGGGCCACGTCGCGCTCGTCGTGCGTGCGGTACACGTCGATGGGCTTGCCCTGGAGGATGTCCTTGGTGAAGAAGAAGTAGGCCATGTCGGGGCGGCCCCACGGGCCGTACACGGTGAAGAAGCGGAGGCCGGTGAGGGAGAGGCCGTAGATGTGGTTGTAGGTGTGGGCGATCTCCTCGCCGGCCTTCTTCGTGGCGGCGTAGAGGCTGGCGGGGCGGTCGGTGCGGTGGAGCTCCGAGAAGGGGTTCTCGGTGTTGAGGCCGTAGACGGAGCTCGACGACGCCCACACGACGGCGGGCTGGGGGTTGGCGTTCTTGGACACCTCGAGGAGGCTGACGAAGCCGGCGATGTTGGAGGCCACGTACGACTGGGGGTTCTGCATGGCGTAGCGGACGCCGGCCTGCGCCGCCAGGTGGAGGACGTGGGTGAAGGGGACGACGTCGAAGAGCTTCGTCAGCAGCGGAGAGTCGTTCAGGTCGCCCTCCACGATGAAGATTTGGTGCTTCTGCAGCAGCGCCTGGCGGGCGCGCTTCAGGGACGGGTCGTAGTAGTCATTGAAGTTATCGAGGCCCAGGACGCCGTCGCCGCGCTTCTTGAGGGCGAGGGAGCAGTGGGAGCCCACGAAACCGGCGGCCCCCGTGACGAGGACGGACAAGCCGTTGGGGCGGCGCGGGGTGGAGGAGTGGCGGACCTGCTTCTCCCAGGCCGCGCCGCCGGCGGAGGAGAAGGCGGTGGAGAGGAAGGAGCGGCGGTGGGGGACGACGTGGTCGGAGGAGAGCGGGGGGTAGTTGAGGGTGAAGAAGAGGACGAGGACGAGGGCGATGAGGAGGGTGGCGCGGAAGAGGAGCTTGGAGGAGGCGTTGAGGAGCTTGGTGCTGTTCACGCGGCGGATGTAGCTGTTGTACCGCTCCAGCTTCGCCGTCTTGCTCGAGTCCGCCGCCGGCGCCATTGCCAATGAACTACAGAACAATGGTGGGGGTGGGGGGGCTTATCTCCTCTTCCTTCTCCGATCAGATTCCGTGGTTGTGTGCCCCAGCAAGATAGAGAGAGAGAGAGAGATAGAGACTCGAAGGGTGCTTTGCTTGCGTGTGATTGAGCCCCTAAGTCTGTGAAGAAGGAAGATGGAGGAAATATAAAGGAAAGAAGGAAGGGCTGTGGCAGATTAACTTACTGTCACTTGTTCGCCGCGGTACACAAAAAAAAAATTAATAAAAAGAAAGGCAAGAAATGCTGGAGCTATGGATGGAGACTTTCTTTATAAACTCGATTTGCTAAGATTTTCTTTATTCTTAAATACGACCCCATTTGCGCAAAAGGGGGTTTTTCACAATCCGACACACCACTTCCAAAGTCAAATTTGATAAAGTCAGTCCAAGCGGGGTTCAGTGTAAATCTTTGCGAAACTGGTTGGGATAATTCGTGTGATGGACCCGCGTCGGGTTGTCCAACAATATTAACTCGGTACCTTATATTTTAAAATTAATATCACGAAAATTCTCAAACTGGTATATTTATGATAAATTTATTTAAAATTAATTTTTTGATAATAAAAAGTTCATACGCCGGCGATAAATTTACTCTAAAATTCGAGTTATTTTTCATTTTAATTTTTTTAAAAAATTTTGTAGAGAGAGAGAGAGAGGGTTGGTGTTGGTTGGAGACCACTTTCTTGCTTTTAAAGTCTCTGGGCTAGCGTCCACATAAGAGGACGACGACCCATAATTGTGTATGCGAAATCGCCCATGCCTTCCACGTTATTCACAATAATACCACCACAATTATTGCAAAACGAAAAATAAAAAATAAAAAAAATTGCCAGCTCAAAGTCTTCTGCGTTTTAGGATCTCGCACCATGTGCCGCGCACGTGCATTGGTGTGAATCCCCTCTCCCTAAATCTCTCTCTCTCTCTCTCTCTCTCTCTATCACTACTTGCTTTGTCGAAACCAAGGGCTCACTTACTAGTAGCTTAAATCAATCAAAAATTAGATTTAATTTAATTCTTTATTTTTGCATGTGGGCAATTAATGCCGAAAACCGGGCTTTTCTGGGGGTAAACTCGGCCCGATCTCTATTTAATCAATCAATTTTCCAAGAAAAATAGGAAAAGAAAGAAAGAAAGAAAGAAAGAAAGAAAGAAAATTCTCAATTTCCACAATTCGGTATTCGGTCAACGGTCAAAGGTGGTGCTCCTGCTCGCGCTCATGATCTTCGTGCGAGCCTAAAGAAGGTACGCTTTGATTTGCTGGCCTCCTCCGTCCGTTTGCGCTTGACCGTTTGTCACCGACAGTGTATTTTTGGCCCTTTCGAATAATCCAATTTTCTTCGTCAGAGAATTAAAAAAAAAAATAATAATACTAAACTTTTTTGTTTCTGTCGGGAGATGATTCGATGGGTGCCAGGATTTTACGCGGAACTTCCTGTCGACGATTGTCCGACGTGGAAATTGCTCGGTGCAGGCTAAAAAAGCGGGAGGGAAAAAAAAAAAGGACCAAACTGCACGAGTTGTCGGTGGCTCGAACCGTCGTCGCAATTTCCCCGCTTGATTTTGTTCGGAATTTTTTTTCAAAATCTTAGCTTTTTTGGTCGCTGGAATTTTTCAAATTTATTAGGCTGAAAAGGCTTCGTGGCAATGTTCGGATTAATTTAAAATCTTGGAATTATTCCCCCTCGTACAATTTCTCTCGTTTCACAGTAATGGTGATATCGAACTCTCTTTTTTCGATATGGGTATTGTCGAATAAGTGTTATTAAGGCATTTTTTTTTTGTCGGCATACTTAAAATTATCGGTTATACTTACCGCTGCATGATAAGATATTTTCTTAGAGTACTGATTACACGTGACAGGAGGCAGAAGGCACATTGAAAATGACGAGGTTTTCTTAATTGGAGTAGGAGTATTCGCTAACAAAATGGCGGGTTCAAATTTTCTTATTTAGACAATTGCCAAAATGGTGAAACAATCTTTTGAAGCAAATATAGTATTCTTTCAAAGCAGTGCACGTTTTCTTTCGATGTATCTTTCCCCCTCAAAATGGCATTTTTTTTCTTTTAAGTGCTCCATCTTGTCAACCTTGTCTTTAGGTAACACAAATTAATTGCCCAATCTCTCTCTCTTTCGATGTATCTTTCCCCCTCAAAATGGCATTTTTTTTCTTTTAAGTGCTCTATCTTGTCAACCTTGTCTTTAGGTAACACAAATTAATTGCCCAATCTCTCTCTCTCTCTCTCTTGTAAAGATCACTTTTATTAACGAGACGAAACGGGCTGATCTATTTACAATAGTCTACACAAAACATCGATAGGGTTACACGGGTAAAACGTCAACTCTCGAAATATATATAGCTATACACTTAAATGTACGATAAAAAACATCAGTGGACGGTTCAACCGGATTTTTTTTTATTACCCTGCACACTTCTTGCTATGGCCCAATATTACTCGGGTTTTTCTCTAATCTCGAGGGATGACCTTCGATTCATCGCGCCATTTATTTTGCACGAATACGACTCGAAACTGCATTACTCGAAATTGTAAATCCCATCGAACATAGGGGCCAAATGGTCATCACGTCACTTGTCTTTTTTTTTTTTTTGGATTAACTAAGATAACACTGCTGGGTTTACAACAAATCGAAAGAGATCTATCTCTCCGGGCGGAGACAAGTACAAGAGTTCTATCCCCGTTTTGGGGTTAGTGGAGGTTTCACGTTTTGGGATAACTACTATGCATATGAAACAATGGACCCCCCCCCCCAAAGAAAAAGAAACGATAAAGAAATGTGGAAAAAGTATGTAAAGGGCGTGATGTGAATGTGGGCACCAATCCGATGCCCGACCCCACGGGGAAGTGTCCTCTTCCTACCCTGGCGAGAAGGAAATGTGAACGAAGGTTCGTAGGGGCAACCTAATTTAGGGCCTTGGCCCCCCGCTATAATTCCGTGATAGACGTCGGTCTCTCTTTATTCCCATGTAGAGAGAGAGAGATAGAGAGAGGAGATTTTCCAAATAAATGCAATACATCTATGTATTGGCTTAATTTCTTAAAATATTTACAGCTTTAGGTCCAATCTCAATTCTGCCCCAAACATTTTCTTTGGTCTAAAAAGGATCCTCAACTTTCGTTATAGTCCTAAATCCGACCACGTGTCCTAAAATCGCCACTGGTTTATTCAAGATTATCAACATCATGACCAATTAGAGGCGCATTATCAGAATTTGCATCTTCATTAATACTCTCCTTCTTATGGAGCAACAACGGCCTATTGATGTTGATAATGTTGAAGTAATCAATGGTGATTTTTTTTTATGTACGGCTTGATTTGAGACTAGAGAGAATTTAAACAGAAAAAAAATTCAGGGAACAATTGAGATCGGGTTTTTTGAGGAAATTAGTCCTTAATTCCCTAAAAATTTTGAATTTTTAAAATATCAAATATGCATGACATGAGGGCTGTCGGTACCAGTGCGTTGGAATTTTTTTGAAGTATTTCTTTATTTGGTTGCTAACTAAAAGTGTTTCGGAGGAAAGTCCTAACGAATTCTTGTTTACACATGGGAATGGAAGTGGATGATGGTTCGGGGCAAGAAGATGTGTTAATGAAGGTACCTTCCAAGTTCCAACTACTGGGGTACACTTCATATTAATGGCCTTCCTCATTCTCGAGGGAAGTGCAATTGCTATTACCATGCCCAATTTTACTAATTTTAATGCAATTTTCTCTTTTGTTTTCTGGGTATAGGATGGCATTTGCAATGTGCAATATAAATTTCGTTCTCGTTCGCTTCTTGAGAAGAAAAATCGCTAACGTGGATGTCGGCCGTCCTATGTGGCACAACCGATGCTAACGTAAGCAATTTTAAATATTTTTTTGAATTTTTATAATTTTCTTTTCTTTTCTTTCTTTTTTCTTTTCCTTCTTTACTTTCTTCTTCTTTTTCTTATTGTTAAGGGCCGGCAGGGGGCCGCCGGCCGCCGGCCGCCGGCCACCGGCTGAGGCCCAGTGATCCCCGTCGACCACTAGGCGAGCCCTCGCCCAGCGGCCAACAAGGGCCGCGACCCTCGCCCATGGTCGACGAGGAATTGCAGGCCCTCGCCCAATGGCTGGCGGGGGACGCCGGGCCTCGGCCGACCCTTAACAATACAAAAAAGAACAAAAAAGTAAAGAAGGAAAAAGAAAATGAAAGAAAAGAAAAGAAAAATAAAAAAAAATTCAAAAAAATATTTAAAAATATTATTAAAAATTATCCACATTAGCATCAACCGTGCCCCGTAAGATGGCCGGGGTCCACGTTAACATTTCCGGCCAAAACTAGCCAGATGGACTAGCTTGGACAAAAAGTAAAAATGTTTAGGATTCAATTAGCATAATTAAAAAGTTTATGACTGAATTAACAAAAGTGCGATAGGTTTAAAACTTTTTTGACAATTTTCCCGCTTCGCCCTAGTTCGTCAGTGTTGCAAAAATTATTAGATGGTATTGGGCGGTTCAATCGGTACTTATTCGATAGGTCTAACTTTTGATGGAGTTTTCCATGGTTCAACCCAATTCAACTACATTCCAATTAATTCGCTGCTCGAAAATACTGCAATTAATTTATTTAAATTTAAAGATAATCAACACTTAGATATTGAGGTCTCTTATGAAAAGCACTTTCAATCCTTAGGCAAAACACACACACACAGTGTGTGTGTGTGAGAGAGAGAGAGAGAGAGAGAGAGAGTCGGTGGAGCTTTTCAATTCAGACTTCGATTCTTAATAACATTGCTTTGAAGGAGGTTTGGCATAGCAATCCTCATCTATAAAGAATTTGCAAAATTGAAACAATTAGGGCAAGATCCAGAACACAAGCAAGATCTCGAAATTAAATTGAAAGTAGGCTAGACTCTCTCTATCTCATTTGGTATTTTCAAAGCTTATCGTGAATGATTTCCTTGACCCTTCATTAGTTTTGCCAAGTACATGAAATTTTTTTTGTCTTCAGTCTCTTCTCCAACACGTGATCTGCACCAAAATCCATTGCAATGAATCTCCAACCATCTGGAGATAACATATGCTTTTCTCCATTTTTTGTATTTGGTTTTCTTTTCCTCCATAT